AGTCTTCCGAGCAGAAGCCCAGCGCTTAGCCATCACTCCCAATGACAGCCAGGAAGGCCACCTGAGTACCCTGCACGCAGTGCCACGGGAAGCATGCCCTCCCTGGTTCCATTCCCTTCTGGGGTTCCCTGGCATTGCACCTCTCTCCAGCTTTACTGCCTACATCCCCAAATACCGAGGGTCTCGTCCTCCTCCGAGAGGGTGGCATCACCTTCCACGTTCACACCTTCGTTCCCGCTGTCCAGGCTGCCCCCTGCCCTGAGTCCTGCTTTTGCCCCCGATTCTCCAACCTGCCCCAGTCCCCCACACCCTCCATGTCGGTGATTGTGGATACCTAAGGCTCTGGGCTTATTTCTTCAACTGGACCGATTAGGCCTCCAAGAATTATTTATAGTAATCACCTTTTTGTTGATCTGTCTCTGGGGCTAAACCGTGAGCTTGGTGAGGACAAAGATGAGCTTTGATCCTTTGACCCTTTCTCTCTCCAGCCCTGTACAGTGCAGACCCTCAGCTCCCGGTGCTGACGCGATCTCGCCAGCCCCTGTGCCCTTTGCCCCTGGTTGATTCCAACTCATGGGACCCCTGTGTCAGAGGACAACTGCACTTCATAGAATTTTCACTCCTTTTTCAGAACTAGTCTGCCACGCCTTCCTTCCCAGGGACCACGGGCAGGACTTAAACAGCTGTCCTTTGGGCTGGTGCCCCACCCATTTGTACCACCCAGTGACTCTGATGGGGCTCCTCGAACCTGGGAGGAGGGCAGCACCTGTGAAGAAGCAGACAGAGACTGAACACCCAGTCACATCACCCTCATGAAGAGGACATGGGGAATAGTTAGACTTACCCTGGCCCCGATATGGCAACAGAGACACCCACAAATCAGAGATTCCATTTCCCCAACTCTCCCACGTGAGCCCTCCGTGGGAGACCCCATCTCAGTTCCATGATGATTCCAGTTACCACAATCACAAACTCTGCATAGAATGTAATTGGATCATGGAAAGGTCCCAGCTCTGTGACCTCACTTACCTGTATTGGGCTTGGTAGGAACCGGGGGAGCTGTGGTGTGGCTGATTGTGGTTGTGCGGGGAGTGGACGTTGTGAGGGTCCTGAAGGTTGATGTTGGTAGTGATGTTGCTGTGCTTCTCGCAGGGGTTGTCCATGGTGAGGGTGTCATTATTTCTGGGCATGAAAGGAGAGAAGGCTGGAGTGAGTCTTGTGGGGAAAGAGGTGAAAAGTATTCAGGAACTGAAAGAGGGAGCTAGAAACCCTCTTTTCTGCCCTGTGATTAAAGAGCAAGGCCACATTCAAACTACTCCCTACGGATAGTTTCTGTTGGGACTGAGGGGACGGAGAGCCTGCCATGCCTTCCCCCAAGCACACTGGCTTCTGCACTTGACCTCATTCTTAGTGTAGTGACACTAATTCGCTGTGCTTCCTGAAGCACATGCTGTAGTTCTCTGAAACCTGGTGTCTCCGTCCTCACCATGGAGCCCGAGGAAGGAGAGGCTGATGGGGAAGTACTGAGACAAGGCACGGGCGTGGTGTAACCTGTGAACGCAGTCATGGATGAGCTCCAGGTGACTGAAGGGCCAGAGGCTGATGGAGAGAAAGAACAATGACTGGTTGAACTAGAGAAACTTGACGTAATCTAAGTGTGCTTATGGAACTAGAAGAAGTTGATTAAGAAGAATCGGGAGTGTTCTTGACCAGCAGGATGGAACCAAGACACTGGGCATTGATCCAAGTATGCTGTCGGGGGTATTAATGTCATTCAAATATTTTGATAGCTGTGGTGGCAGAGCAGCCGAGGTGACGCTTTGAAAAGCTGTGTGATCCAGAAAAGGGAATGCATTTCAGAGGCGCACAGAGAAAGATGGATCTCGGATGTGTTTTCTGAAAAAGACATTGTTACAGCCACCTCCCAAAGCAATGCCCAGGATGGTGCTGTCATTGATGACATACTGTAAGAACGTCTTGACTGAAAGGGACAACATTCTGGGAGGGG